CTCAACCCCGCGCTAAGTCCTTGGAAATTTCCACCTCTGTGAACCGCTATCCTGCCCCGGGCGTCTCCGCCTCGGCCGCCAGGACCCCGGCTCCGCACCCCTCCCAGAGAAGAAAAGAACTCGCTCTCATCAGTTCATTCAGCGGCGCGCCGCAGCCTTCCGCTGCGTCCCGGACTTCGCAGACAAACGCCCGGGGATTGGTGGAAATCAAGGTCTCCCCCTCCCTCCTCCACCCGCAAAACTGCCTCCTTAGACCCGCTCAGAACCGCGACCCGGCCCGAGCGCGCACCCCTCAGTCCTGCCCTCGTCGTTTGGACAGAGAGGCAACTCCCTTCCCCCCAGATAAATCTAAATTCCCGAGTAAGGCAGAGCCTGGCTGATAGCCCTCCTATCCCGACCCTTCTACACGCAGCCGGCGCGCGCGGGCTGTCACCCCGCCGTCACCCTGCCGTCACCCTCGTCTCCCTCGAACTGGTTGGCTATGGACCCGCAGAGAAGCCGGTAGGGAGTCATTCCTTCCTGGGCCCCCACCCCTCACTAGCCGGGCTGGAGCGCGGCTCCAGCTGGTACCCGCGTGCGCGCGTGCACACACACACACACCAACGCTCACGGGCTCGCACGCGCGCGCACGAGGAGGTGCGAGCACACCGGGGTCCTCCGCCTCGCCCCCGCCCTGTAGGGAAAGGCGCTGCTGCATCCAGATGTACAGGCAGCTGGTGCCCCAGCAAGCAGAGCTGGGATGTGACAATGCCTAGGAGGCGCGCTCGCCTCCTCCGCCTTTTAGATGAAAAGGCCGTTGGTGAGCCGTCCTTCTCACAACACGGAAAAGCTTATCGCTTAGAGCAACCCTGACCTTGGAAAAGCGCCACCCTCCTGGACCAGCAGCGCGCCGCGCCGAGGAACCCACTTAGTCATTTCTGCTCGCCCAACAGCCGACGCTTAGCTCGGGTACCTCCTAGTGGTTGCCTCTCCCATTGCTTAAGCATCTCCTCAAACATAAAGTGTGCGGGGACAAAGAAACCCAGCAGCCTACAAACCGGTAGGCTTAGTCATCACCAAAACAAAATCTCCAGCCGTAGCTGCCTTTGCTCAGCCCACCCGCTGCGGCTACCCGGTGGTCTCGCTCTCCAGCACCTCTGCAGCCCTGGTAACTCACTTCAGCATCTTCCTGGAGGTAGAACTTGAGTAGTTGATAAAAAGTTATTTACTAAAACCATGAAACAACCATCATAATCTCATTCTTCGACCACCACCATGCAATCTTAGAAAAATGGCCAGTGACCTGCAAGGCGTCCTTTCCTCTTAAATAAACAGGGAGAAAAGAGAGACTGGAATCACAGTTTTACAGTTTAAACGCAGTGGAACTGAATGCAGTCTTTGCAGAGAACATGAGTTGAACTCCTGCAAAGTAACCTCCTCTTTTCTGGAAAACGGCAGGTAGAAGATGCCAACCTTGCCCACAGTTGCCAAGGCTCTGGAAAAAACATCTGACCCCTTTATTCCTAAAATTCACATAAAACGCAAACCACCCCAATTTCTCTTTTCATCCCCAAGCCCAAGGAATATAGTAAATAAGTCAACCAACAATAAGACCCACTGCAGTTAAGAAGGAGCTATGTAAAGGTTTCCTCCTTTTGTATGCAAAACGCATCAAAGTTGTTTGTACCTTAAATAAAGAGGCTTCAGAGGTACAATGTGCTGTTTTTACTTCTTCTGAAAACAGATTATCGTGCCTTTATTGACTTTTTTCTGGCACAGTCCAACCTCATTCCCTTTGTTCCTTAGTAAGAGGACTGGAATCTAGTCAAGCTGATCACCCCCACTTCAGTCACAGCATTTCTGTTGCTGTGTTTTGTGATCCACATTATTCATGTATAGAATTTTTTCCCTTTGTTTCATACAAATCCAACACATCATTAACAACCAACCTAAGTGGCTAAGAATTTTTCTCTTGATATGTCTTCCTACACTACCTGAATTGCAGATTTCATGGAGTAGGAACTTAGCAAATGCTTATAGCTTCTGTTCCTATTTCCTTTGACCTCCAGCTCTGGTTATCGATAGTAATTTGCTGTTTACACAGAAGATTCAACACTTGTATGGAACTGTGTTGTTCTGCTAGCATTTTTCATATATACCAGTATTTTAGCAATTGGACAGTAAGAGCATCTGGTATCATATATTGAATGACAAGCCTGTGCTTTTGATCCAGATACAGATTCCACGTGACCTATCTATATGTATAAGAGATGAGCAGGAATAATATTTTATATTTATGTCACATTCCTCCAGGACTCCACTCGGGCTTCAGTAAATACAAACTAAACAAATAATTGTTGTGTGATTGTTGGCTTGATTAATTTGAGGGCTTCTAATTAATTCAGACTGTTGCTAAGGCAACCCTGGTTAAGTATAAACCCTAAGGTTTAATGTTTTAAATAAAATATCTTACCTGATATTTAACCACTTTGTTGATATGACTATTTGTAGGTGACTTAGATAAGGTTTTACACTTCTGAGTAGTTTGTTCAGGGACTGAACAGTTTTTGTAACTATAAATGTTTGCTTAATGAATCAGCAAACACAATATGCAAGATTGCTTTATGCCATAAGTTAACTTAACGAGAGGTGTTTTTGTGACTTTGAGGTATGAAAGCCAGTCTAAGAGAAAGAGCTACTACATAACAAGTCATGGAGAAAAGAGCAAAAAGGAGCACCTCGATGCAGAAGATGACCAGTGAAAGGGACACCCACAATGTGCAACCTAGCTCAGATGCTGATGTGTGTGGACACAAATATTAACAATCACTATTAATAGAATAGAAAATGATTTGAGATTAAATTTCAAAAAGGTCATCTTTTATCTCTTAAGTTCTTGTCAGAATGGTCTGGAATGGAGAGATGAAAGCATGAAAACATGCTATTTTCACAACAAACACCTAGCAAATTGGACTACAGCATGAGGAAGGATCAGAGTATAGTTCCACTCACTCTTGCAACTTCACTAACAGGACATAAAGGGGTAAAAGAATCATCAAGTCACAAGAAGAAGCAAAAAGGAGGGAAACAAGGACAGACAGATGAATGAGTAATAACTGATTTATCAGAATGGAAATAGCTCTGAGCCTTCAAACAATGGTAAGAGTAGAGGAATAAAGACAGAAGCCAACAAAAATGAAGTTAGTATGTACTACAGAACTTTGTGTGAAATCCGGAAATTAGAAACAACCTTATGCCCCTGAAGATGGTGGTAGTGGATGAAACAATATGAGAGGTATGAAAGCTATTATATGGAGCAGTAACGTTTACATAGCTCATCCCTTCAAACCCTTAAAACAGGTTACTTCTCTAAAGAAACAGACCAGCGGCAAGCAGACCTCACTAGAAGATAAATTCTACTCATTCAGAATTGCTAGTATCTTCTTTGAGGCTCATTCATAAATATGATTGGAAAATCCAAAGCCCCCAAACATTTGAAGAATCTCTCCAACATGCAGAGACAAAAAAGGCAAGTAACAAAAATGAAAATCAACCCAGAGTAAAAAAAAAAAAAAGTGCAGAAAACTTAAGGAATCTTCAGTGAACATTGTAACTAATATTTTCATAAAGACACCCATCAAGTAAGAACAAAAGGAATATTAAGATGGGCAAAATAAAGTCCATTAAAATTTAAAATTTGTTAAAACACACATATACAACTCAAAGAAGAGTTGAAATACAAAGTTGAAGAAGTATCCCAGAAAGAAGACAATAAAAACAAAAGAGGGTGATAAAAAAGATATAATTTACATTCTCAGACAATAAAAACAAAAGAGGGTGATAAAAAATATATAATTTACATTCTTAAATAAACAGTCAAATAATAGGAATCCAAGGGGGGGGGGAAGCAGAAAGGAGAAAATGCTCAAACACACAGTTTCACTAAAAGACTAAAATTAAATCAAAAGATCACAGAACACTCATCCTCTGCCAGACCTCACCACAACACTAATAAGTCTCCAATATAACATCAGTGGGTTACAGCTACAACATGCAGGTTCTCTCTGAGAAGTACTTAGGGAAATCTAAAATCAATAAATGAGACAAAACCAATAACAATGAGAGATTTGAAGGCTCTGGCACTTCTAGCTACAGCGAATATATAGTCAAATCCCTAACCAAATTAAAATAAAAATTCATACTAAAGTTCTATTTAGCTCTGTTCCTATTACCCAATATATCATAACCGATTTTCAACATAAAATAATAAGGCATACTGCAAAACTGAAAAGAAAAAAACAAAACAGTATTTTCTTAAGCAAATCTCAGAACTACACACCAGATAGAACATATGACCCAGGTACCAGAAGTATCAGAGAATTTAAAAATCACTGTTGATTAAGATGTTAAAAGACACTAATTAGAAAAAAAAAATGATGGCTAATGTACACAGAGAGATGGCAACTTCCAGAAAGAATCCAATGGAAATACTAGAAATCAAAAATACTATAGTGAGAATAAGCAATGTCTTTGATGAGCTCATCAGTGATTGGATATTGTGGAGGAGAGAACGAGCAAGCTTAAAAATAGGTAAAAAAAAAGGAGCTTCACAAACTAAATTGTGGGCGATTTCAAACAGTGGGAGTACCAGGAAAAAAAAAGAAAGGAACAGAAGTATCTGGAGTAATAACTAAGAATTTTCCACAAGTAATAATGCCAAAATAAGGAATTAGAATACCCAGCTACCTGAAATAAAGTCTGAAAAACTGCACACAGATAAATAATATTTCAATTATCAAAAACAGTGTTGTGTAGAAGCCAAAGACAACAGAAACATCTTAAAAGTAGCTACAGAGAGGAGAGAAATACACATT